ATTCGTGTATCTGTAGATTCGTGTATCTGTAGATTCGTGTATCTGTAGATTCGTGTATCTGTAGATTCGTGTATCTGTAGATTCGTGTATCTGTATCTCACTGCTCCATTCAAATGAATCCGTCTCTACGTCATTATCAACACACTCGATACAAGTATTGACAACAACCCACCGATTGTCGTGATCACAGTGATGGCGAAGTAGAAGGAGCCCGCAAACTTCCACTGGACCCCCGCCTTGTGGGGCTTGAGCTGCAGGACGACGAGCTCCAGCTCCTCGAAGTTCGCTTTGGTCAAGTTGTATTTGCGCATCAGCTCGTACTTTCTGGCGTCGAGCCTCCTCTTGTGACTCTTCTCCTGCTTCGACTCCAGGGTCTCGAACACGGCCGCCCCGACCACCAGGTAGGTGAGGATGCTGACGATGAGGGCGAGGGTCCTGGCGTTTTGTCTCTTCATGGTAAAGAGGGAGGAATAAATAGTCTTTGTGCAGGTGGCAGCTGAAGACTCCGTGCGCCCTTCTTCTCCTGACGCACTCCGGATCCGACAGAGGGGACTTTTGGAGATGGAGCCGCTCTCTCGGCGCCACCCCCACATCACAGTTGGGTTGCTACTGTATTTGGACTATTTGTCACCAGCATATATTTAGATTCTGCTGGAGAAAAAAAAAAAACACACACAGGGCAATCCCACAGATCCTCCAGGAGCAGCAGCCCGAAACCAAGAGCGCACCTTCCTGGAGCCTTTACGCACATCTCCTCTTCCCTAACTGAGGCCAAATTAAACCGCGCTGTGTTTCCTCCTTGCAGAAATGGTTCGGTTCCCATCAAGTAGGCTAAAGTAACGTGGTCACATATGACTCTGGCGTGTGTGATTCACGTTTATTCTCTCTGGCAGATACAATATTTACCCAGTGGCTATTTAAACAGACTTGCTCTACTGGCTTCACAAGTTGTCTAGCAACCTAATGACAAGCCACCGTTCAGTGAGTAAACATTTAAAAAGAGGACATCCTCTTGTGGTGAACAGGCCGCAGGATTCTTCAGCTCCAACAGCAACGACTCTCTCGAGGTCAAGTTATCAAAAATTTTTTAACATGAACATGATAAACATTCAGGTGAGTCCAGGCTGGAGTTTTCTCTGCTCAGTAAAATGAACCAAATATTCAGGAAACAGAGATAGAAGATGAATTTGTTTCCAAACAGTGTAGAGTGATGAACTGAATCCATATTATAATCATCTTAATCATGACTGCAGTAAAACAAGTGATGATGAAAACCTCCTGAGAAATTTACAAAGAAATTATAAAGAGACAGAAAAAGCACCTGCACCAACCTTGAACCAACCAACCAGTCAGTCAGTCAGTCAGTCAGTCAGTCAGTCAGTCAACCAACAAGTCAGTCAGTTAACCAACCAACCAACCAACCAACCAACCAACCAACCAGTCTGTCAGTTAACCAACCAACTGACCAGTCAGTCAGTCAGTCAGTCAAACCAACCAACCAACCAACCAACCAGTCTGTCAGTCAGTCAGTCCGTCAGTTAACCAACCAACCAACCAACCAACCAGTCTGTCAGTCAGTCAGTCCGTCAGTTAACCAACCAACCAGTTAGTCAGTCAGTCCGTCAACCAACCAACCGACCAGTCAGTTATACAAATGACAACATAAACTTCTTTGTTGGGGGGATAAATTAGTATCGTAATGACAATAAATGAGGACGCATATTTTGTAAATGTTTATTTTTTAAGATGGAAGAGGACGATACTTATCTCAGATGAGGTCTAATATGAGTGATCACTGAGTGAAGGTTCACACCGGTCTGTTTGAACAACACCATGTTGTTTTTACAGTACAGTTGTAGGTGGAGGTGTCAGTAAACATTTCTAAACCTCTAAGTCTGCGTGTAAATCACTTTTAAGAGACAGGAGCAGGAGGTCGAACTATTTTGGTCAACATGAACTTTACTCAAAGACTACAAATCAGGATCTGTCAGAGTACAGCTTCAGTTTGGGCTTTTCTTAGTTTTAAATACCAAAAGGCTTTTTAACAGTAACTGCTATGATCCTAATTTTCCCTGAAATTTTTTTTAACAGGATGGAAACTTCAGATGACAACACTGAAAGAAGAAGGTGAATTAAATAAAACTGGTTTCCAAATCATATTAAATATTTAAATGGGGAAATTCAATCAGAAGCATCTTAAACTTAATAAATCACGAAGCCAATTAAATTCAGGATTCAGCATATTCACACTAGTTAAATAATGTTTGGATAAATGTGAAAAAAGTTAGAGCTGAAACTGTTCGATTAACAGAAAAGGAATCATCAATGTTTTTGCTAATTGCTTAATAAGTAATTGATTAAAATGCTCAACTTTCTCTGTCAGCTCCTGAAATGTGATGGTTTGGTGTTTGTCTCTGTTTCATGATGTAAAAAAAAAAAAATTAAATTCAGTTTTGGAACATGACCCCGGAGTTTTCTGACGTTTTAAAGATGAAACAATTAACAAACAAAAAAAAAAACAGCATATCATTTAATAATGAATTGATCGTTAGCTTCACAACATTATTTAAAATTTAATTAATAACAAAACTGCAGAGCCAGATTCAATAAAGCTAGCTTTATGGTTTGTTTGTTTTAAAGGTGTACACACAGTCGTCAAAGCAACATGGACTAAAGTGCACACTGGAGATGTTTGAGGGCGACAAGGGAAAAAAAAGTTCTTCCAAGAAAAAGTTAAACTGATAAAGCTCATGAAGGTTTATCACAAATATCATCTTCATGCTTTCTCTGGGTGTTTAAGAGCAGATGTGTCTGGAATTACATCACACTTTAAATTAAAAGATGGTGGAATGGGAGGTGTTTGAGGTATTTGGGAGAGATCATCGGGTCTCTGAGGTTTTCTACAAGGCCTCGAACTCGTCAATCCTCTGCTTGGTGTTGCCCTGGCGGATCTGACGCAGGGTCTTGTACTTGTCCCGGCCGACTCGGACGTTCTCGGCGTGGAGCAGGTCGTTCTGGGTATCTTTGTTCTCATCCCGGGCTTTCTCCAGCTCGGAGCTCAGGGCCTGTGGAAGAAAGAGCAAATGAAGAGCGTTTCAGTCCCCCTTAACTTACCGAGTGCTGTTATTCACTTTGAATACCCCCCCCCCGCCTTTACTCACACATTCTCAAGTTGAGAGTTGACCAGTAGAAACATTTCTGACAGTATCTGTGTTGTGTTTTTAATATATATGCTAAATTACTGTTATCTTATTAAGGGAGGTCATAGCTGTTGTGTCTATATGTCAAATCAAACGCTCTCATAACAAATTCAAATGAGTGCGTCATCTATAGCAAAACCTATCGACTGCATAGGTAACACCTTGTTGTGAAGGGAGGAGGGGGGCGTGGCCGGCGGAGCGTTCGTTTTGGTCTGAGGTGCTGGTGCAAGTGTGACATCTAGTGGCAGTGAATGTCGAATATGTAACCTTTAAACTTTTTAAGACCAGGTAAGTTTTAAAGTCACATTGACATCCACTGTCTGAATCTCTGGTGAAGTGTGTAAAGTAGCTCGGACCCTGGACTCACCGAGAGTTTTTTCCGCAGGCGTTCGTTCTTCTCGGCCTCCGTGAGCCTCTCCTCCTCCTCACGGTGGTCGTTCATGCACTGCGTCGGCAGCTCGGCGCTGTAGATGCTGTTGTCCTCGCTGTTTTCGTGGTCACTCTCGCTGTCCGAGGAGGAGGAGGAGGAGGAGGAGGAAGCAGGAGGAGTGGGTGCAGGAGCGGGTGCAGGAGCTGAGTTGGCGGTGGTCATCACCAGGGTCAGCTCTTCTCTCGTCTTCAGCAGATTCTCCTCCACTTCCATGACCTGACAGGAAGTTTGACAGGGACAGTGCTGATCGATCAACAGAATAAAAAACTGTCGATGAACCACAGTTAGCCGTGTCACTGTGTCGATGTTAGAAATGCATCCACAAATATTTAACCTATATTTTTGAAAGTATTTTCAATGACTGGTATGTTTTCTTGGTTTCAGTCTGTGAGGAGTTAAATGAAAAATGAAGCCATGTGAGATGATGTCATGTGTTTTGTAAGTGTGAAGAATTACAATGAAACATGATGATTAGAAGGTTTGTGCTAAAAGATAAATATGAAAAAGTCAAAAGATACAAACTCCAGATAAATATGTGGATGCCAGCTCAGGCTTTGAATCAAACTAAACACAGTATTACTACAACAACTTATAATAAAACAGATACTAAATGTGTGTTTTAAAGTATAATCGTATTTATACAGCTTTCTCCTGAAAGTGACCATGGGAGGAATCAAAACTTCTGGTAACTTTTTACTTCACTACTTTTTCACTCCAGTAGAACTTCATCACATCATAGTGTATTTTAAACCATTTATTACCTCCGACAGAAGAGGTTATGTTTTTGTCTGAATGTGTTTATTTTTTGCAGGATCACACAAAAACTACTCGATCAGTTTTCATGAAACTCATGGATCCTGATGAGAAAAAAAAAATCGTGTTGGCGGCTCACCTTGTTGTGCCATGAGTCCGCCTCTTCCTCCTTGACTCTCTTGGCCTCCTCCAGCAGAGAAATCTTGGCGCTGTACTCGGCCAGTTCTGCAGCCTGAGGGGGGGTGCACACACAAACTGAGTCAACAACAACAAAAAAACAACCCAAGAGAAGTTACCTGCTCACCTCGCTGACCTTAATTATCTTTATGAGCGAATGGTCAAAACACAGAGGAAGATCAAACAACTACGACTAATTTAAATGCTGAACTTTTAATTCTAGTACACTGACCTAAAAGCTACTTCATTTACAAATCAAGAATTTCCCATAAAATATCAAAACGTTTTTTTTTGCTTAAACTCAGTGAAAGAATTCATTTTTGACATTTTGTGAAGAGTTTCAGTGTGAGAACGAGTTTTAGATCATTTTCTCATGACGACTTTAATCCCAGTGAAGCAGGAAAATCACCCAAACCGAAGGACGTATTAGTTCTAACTCTTAATCAGTGTTTATCCTGGATGTGGGGGCTTTTTGTTTGTGATGACTGTTTTTGTGCCGCTCGGTTTTCTCACGTGAAGGATTTGCGTGCTTTGTGCACGGTGCACTCACCAGCTGCTCCTGGCTCTTTATCTGGTCCTCGGCTTGCCTGGCCAGCTCCTCCTTGGCTATTATGGCCTCCATCCTCTCGGCCTCCAGCCGTGCCGCCTCCTGCTCCACCTTCCTCCTCTCCTCCTCCAGCCTCACGGCCCGGTCCAGCTGCTCCTGAAGCTCTGCGAAAAGTCAGCGAAACACAGGGAGGTTTTTGTCAAGTACTGAGTGGTGTTAAAATTCAGGGCGATAAATGACTGATGATTACACGCCTGTGAAATAACACATTTGCTTAACTTAAGGCAGAGTTTCCTGTTTCTTCTGCCTTGTGGGCCCATAAAATAAACTTGTGACCCCCTCATGTTAATAGTTCTCAGTTTGTTTCATTCGAATTATCTTTAAAGAAATCAAGAGGAATAAATATTTTCACTCTTTCTGAGGTGTCTGTGTTTTTTCACTCTAGTCGAGGGTTAAGCTCCGAGGATGTCGCACCTTGTGCAGATGTTAAATCCTATGAGGCAAATGTGATTTGTGAAAACTGGTTATACAAATAAAATCTGATTGATTGATGAAAGAAGTCAAAAGAAAAGAAACCGTTTCGAGATGAGAGATATTTCTCGGCTAAGAAAGTTATTTCATCACCAGCGTCCACTTGTTTTTCATTTTCTCTGGAATTAAGGTCTGGATCTTAAGGCTGGAATTCAAACATAGTGATTGTGTTTAGGTGGATTTCTTTGCCAGTTCAGGTCGATGAGGTGCAAACGTGGCTCGCTTCGGCAAAAGCCTTGTACCTGCAGCAACTTAATGAGAAATCCTGTTGCTTACGTAACTAGGCCTCTTTACCGTCCGTCAATGTTCAAGGTTTATGGAACGTCTTTGTCTGTTATGTTGTTTGGATCATGGGACTTGGTTTGTGGGGGGGAATGTGAACGTGCAGTGATGTGAAACTGAATTTCCAAGACAAATATCTAACTAATGGTCGTATATATATATATATATCGTGGCACAAGTATTGTGGTCATCAGGTCATAAAACAAAGAAAATAGCATCCACTCAATTCATTCAACTTATATCTAGAAAATAAACAGCAGAGGGCAATAAAACCATGTAACTCTGACTTTAACATCTCCGATCTAACACAGAAAGTGGAGCTCAGTTACAGTTTGTTGCGTAAAGTGCTTGTAAGTCTCACCTCTCTCTGCTCTCTTGGTCGTCTCCTCAAACTCGTAGAGCTTCCTCATCAGATCCCGCTTCTCTTTCTCCATCAGCTCCTTCTCTCTCTCGATGGCCTCCCTCCTTCTCTTCTCACTCTCCAGCTGATCCCTTAAAAAAAACACCCACAAAAAGACAGAGTGTTTATCTCAGTCATGTCTCCAGTTCAGATCCTAACGTCACGTGTCTGTGTTGTTTCCCCCATTTAACTTAATGACCCTTCACCCACTTCTCTATCTTCTTCTGCAGCCTCTCCTCTTTGGCCTGAGCCTTCATCTGCTGCACCTCGATGCTGTCAGGCTTGCGGCGGCGCATGTACAGCTCGTGGTTGCCCATGCACAGCTGAAGGATGCGTTTGTTGACTTGCAGCCGTGGAGCGTAGAATATAAAATCCTGTCATGGAAAAAATAAAGAAAACAACATTTCAGTGACAGTTTGGTTTGGTATCTGATAAAAATCCACAGGATGCTGAGGCTATAATTTAAGTTTGCGTAGTTGTGGTTTTATTTTTTGAACGATTGCAGTGTTAGATGTTTAATATTTACGCTCAGCATTGAGAAAAATGTTGGAAAATGATTGGAAACAATATTTGCTTCTACAACACAGAGATTTTAAGTGTTTGACTCAGGACATGAAACACATTTAAGCAAAATATAGAAGAAAGACAATATAAAAAGCACCCTGAGGTACGTGAGTAAGCTTATGTAATAAGACATATACACTCTCATGCTGTCATTACTGATGTTGTGTGATATGTATAAATACTTACGGGGGCTTTCTTGTCTATGGGCTTGATGACAAATTTCTTATCATTGAAAGAAATGTTTCGAATTTCACTCCAGGGGAATCCGATCTTTGGAGTCAGCCTGGAGGATGGAGAACAGAGGTGATCAGACACAAGCAGCCTCTATGAAAGGTCTAAAGTTAGTTTTTTTATTCTTTGTCGAGCAGTGTGAATGAGTTTGTGCGGTAGAATTACTGGAGGTCGATGGCCTCTTAACAACAACAGCCCTGTGGTCAGATGTTCCATTTAAAACCTGAGCGACTGAGAAGGTAGTGGAGGTCAGTGACTGCTCGGGTGTTGCCCTCATGTCTAGGGTTAGGGTTAGTGTGTCATCGAGGCAGTGAACGCTACACATGCCGTGTCAGCAGGGGCGTGGCAAGAGCAATCTCCTGGGGCCCCGAGAGCAACCGGCTTCAATTCTAAGGATCCGGTACGTCCACGGTTGGAAACCTTTTTTTTGACCAACCTGTCATCCTTCTCGTAGATGTTGAGTCCCAGAGCGTCGACTCCCAACCACAGCTCAGTGTTTTTCTTGTTCTTGATGTCAAAGTAGTTGACGCCGTACATCTCCAGGTCCTGAGTGATCTTCAGGTACTCCAGCATGGCCTCTTCCCTGCTCACGTGAGACGAACACGTGGAAAAAATGTAATATCACACGCAGATATACAAACTTCTACACCAAGTCTGTCATATCTATTATCAGTATGTGCCATTTAATCGAATATGTGCAATACTACTACTACTACTTCTACTAATAATAATAATTATGATGTCTGTTTGCATCTTGTTTATCTATATATTACTTAAATTATCACTATTTATTTTATACTTACTCTGGAAACCCTATCATCAATAATTCAAATCGTGAACTGGATGCAACGTCATTTCGTTCCACCGTGCACTTGTTTTGTGTGACAATAGAGTGAATCTCACTGAGATTACTTATTATTTTTTACTTAAGATTACTTATTGTCACTTACTTCAGCATTGAGCCGTGCTCCTCGTGCCAGTTCTGGATCCTCCTCTCCCACTGCTCCTTGGACAGCTTGTGTTGCTTCAGCACTCTGAGGGGAGAGACGAGCTATCAGCGAGCCGCGCTGCTGAGAATGTAAACAGTCTGTGTATACGTGCAGAGCTAAATCAAACACATGCTGCATTGTCCCATACTCGTACATCTATTGTTGGCTTTTGTGAGTCTAGTAACAAAACATGTGTTAAAAACAGAGTCATTCAGGGACTTGTATTAAACTGGACGATCTCCTGAAGAGAAGGATTCAGAGAAATAACTATTTTAGACATTTTCACAGATTTCTTAGGAAATGATTCCAGGAATATAATGAAAGATCTGTTGATTTTGGGGACTGATATTTATGAGTGTGTAACATTTGGTGCAGATCCAAATAAAAATCTGCTTCTAGAGGATTTCGCTTGTGTAGCTGAGATAATTTGAATTCAGTAAAATATCAATGATTTATATGAATCTTCATCCAGAAGTGTGGGGTGAATAAAGTCTATCTTATCTTATCTTAATAGCTTTAGAATTAACATAGTGGATTCTGTGCAGGATTTCTGGTCCTTCATGGAGTTATGTGTCATTCTAGTTCTTTTATTCTCTTGTTCTTCGTGCATGTGTTTCAATTCATATATTTATGACTATATTATTAAACCCTATGAGACAAATTAATTAATTAATTGATTGATTGATTGATTGACCTGGATGTCAAGCTGCTGCACATACAGTCGACCTTGTGGAAACTCATCACGGCAGCGGTGACCACCGTGCTACAACTGAAGTTTTGCCTCCTCCCACCAAGTCCCACTCACTTCTTGGACAGCAGGTGCTCTCCGGACAGGTAATCCTGTTGGTGCCCCGCCTTGTTGTACTCTCCAAACTTGGCCTGGACGGCGTAGGAGGCGAGCAGCACGGCGGACTCCGGGGGGCAGTAGATGGCCTCTGACAGAATGTCCTCCTTCACCTGCAGGAAGAAGAGCCTCCTGGTGACGTCCTGGATCAGCTCCTCAGTCACGTCCTCTGGGTAGAACTTGGCCTTCAGTTTGAACTGCAGGGGCGTCTCCTTCTTCACTTCCTGGGCCATCACCTGAGCACAGCATGGAGAGATATGGAGATTAAACAAAAGAGCAGAGTAAACTAATGTGAGGAGAGGAGAGCAAAGTGGAGCACTGCTTTTTCATTACAGTACGAGACAGGTTGCACTGTGTGAACACAACTCTAATTAACAATCGAGATGATTGATGTCGTTTGCTGGGTTGTAGTCATCTGAGGGTGATTTGTGTTTGGGTGGTTTTCATTTATTAAAATGTGCTTCTTCAAAGTGGAAGGTGAAGCGATATGTTTTATAATCTAAGCACTTTGAACTGGTTACATGTTTTTATGCATCAATCCCTTTATCACAAGCCAAATCTTTCATTCGAAAGAGTAAAAGATGACCTCGAACAAACTGTATCTAAGAATTTATCATAAAGAAATAACTGTTCATAAATCAAACAGAGAAAAAGGAATAAAGAGTAAAATTTCAGAGATATTAACAATCCTGAAGATAATTTATTGAATGTCAGTTGTTGGAGAAAATTTCTGCCTTTTGAATCCAGGGAGAGCTAATTGGCCAACTCCTCTCAGCTGTGCCACTCAGCTCTCCCTGGTTCACCTGGTTCTCTCTGAGGAGAGGAAGAACTCAGCAGGTTCACGGCACAGGGACCGAACTATACGTCCTCTACTCTCAGACCATCACATGCTCACCTTCTTCTCAAAGTTCAGCCATGCGGTGAGTCCTCTGATGTCGGTGAACTGCAGCCCAAAGTACCAAATCTCACGTAGACCGATGGTTCTGGAAACCTTCCACAAACACACACAGAATATAATAGAATAATATATTAAAACATGATCTTACAGAGAAGCTCACTTGGTTGAGCGGACGCCTCATACATATATAGATATATATGTATTTTTTTGCTCTATTAAGGTTTTTTGATGGACATGATTTCTTTCACACAGTGTTTTACTCGAGTAATGAATGATCAAGTAAACCTGTGTGTTGTGCTTTACTGTGACATGCAGACCTGGTCAAAGAGCTGCTTCCCTGTGGTGTTGCGGTGGAAGGAGAACTCCAGCTCTGCGTCCATCGTGGTGACGCGAACATTGACCTGCAACGATAAATCACTTTTAGTCACATGACAACTGAGGTTTTCTGTTTCCCTTTAGTCAAAGCATTCAACTGTCAACTAGATCTGAATCCACCGATCTTACATTTCTCTGAGTTGTGTTGTGAGTGAACCTTCAGCAGGACGGTGAAGGAATATCACACTTTTTGGTGATTACATCATAAAAAACAACTTATTTGATGGTAAAAAACCCACAAATGATACATTCAGTCATTGGTGTGAACAATGCCTTTAAAGTGGAGCTGTGAAGTGGATTGTTCATAAACCATAATTGCTCACTATCTCATTAGACTTTGGACTACCCTTGTGAGGTGCAACAAGGTTGCACAAAGGCAGTTTAAAAAAAAAAAAAAATCAAAATACTTGCTGCTTGCCAAGTTGCCTTTAGACTTCTCATCTCACTGAGATCGACCACTTATCACAAGAGCAATTAAACCCTCTGCACATAAATCTGACTTTCGAGAGTCTCCAGGAATAAATGCCCGGTCGATGAAAAAGGAATTGATCTCAGTATTTTCCAAAAAATAAATGACCAACACAAGACAACAGGATGACCCTGGCTCTGCAGGCCAGACCGGACACGTAGCAGTTACACAATGATTTTATGAAATTACATTTGAGCACGCCCCGGGTGTCATAAAGATAAAGTCTCTGAAAATTGGGCAACAAAAATTGGAACATAACATTTATGAAACCTCAGCTGAAAGCAAATAATATTACAATTATTAAGTGTGCTGCATTTAATCCTGAATCTTTTTTTAATTTTGATTGTATTTTTTGGGTTCCTACAAATGTGTGACTTCACTTTATTTATGCCAAAATTCAACTCTTCAATCCTGTGGCAGCATTCTCAGAAAAAAACGATAGCAGACATGATTCATAAATTAGTTTGAGTTCAGGTTGGTTTAACGTCCGACGTCAGCATGACCTCCCCACGGAGTCTTTCTCCTTGGAGTGTCAATATAAGCGCTGAGTTGCAGTCGTAACGCACAGTGCGGCCTTTCTTATCAGTTTATCAGTAGTTTGATGCTGTCATCTACTTCAGTTATTCTCACTGAGGGCGTTTAGGACTCACAAGCACAAGCCTCTCTTTTAGTTTTTGGATGGAAAATTGATTAACGCTGCCGGACGTAGAAGAATCAAGGGGCAGAATGAAGCAGTTAAACCATACAGTCATGAGATGTTGAGGAGACGTCAGTGTCACCAAAGTTAATGATCATGATTATTTTCAGGCCAGTTTCAGCAGAGAAAAAGCATTTTCTTCTCCCAGGAATGTGAGCAGCATGGGTCAAACTCTACCTTTGGTTAATGAGTAAATGCCAAGAAAGATTAGTGTCACTTGGAAACTCAGAGGTAAAACAAAAAGATGTTTAACAAGAGACTAAAACTATAAAAATACACTTGTTTTTATGCTTAGTGATTTCTTATGTATTACAGCATTAACCCATACATTTAAAAAGCTTTACTCCATAAACCCACCGGCTCCTTTTCAAACTTGGGCCTGACAGACGTCTCAGTGACATGTGATCAATAAGAATCGGTGAAAGGGAAGAAGTTCTTACTGTTTTCGGCATCTTGTCTGTGGTGGGTGGAAGAGCTCCAGCAGAAGAAAGTGTTTCCCAGGTGGACGGAGGCTGCAGTGGCCAACTCCCAGCAGAACCCTCACCTGATAAAGAACGGCGCTGCGCTCTCACAGGCAGACTCAAGGGCAGGGCTTGTGTCCTTTGAACTCGTGCGTGCGTAGATCTCTGTGCGTGCTAACGTGGGAGGTTTCCACTTGGTTACTGTCACAGAAAAACTGAGAGCTTTACCTCCGGCGTGATCAACCCAGCAGAGCAAGACAATTCACCCAGGGACGATCGCCTATCTTAGCACCTGCACCGCTGTGACCTTTGATCGGAGCACGCAAAGCTATACGGGCCCGGACGCACTATTTATGTTGCCTGTTTGGAGATGACAGGTGTGAGTCATAAAGAGATCACATCATCAGGCAGCGTGTTTCTGCGGAAAATCCAACTGAGACAAATTCTAGGGAAGTTTGAACTTTATAGTCTTTAATGATTAATGAAGAAATATTTAAAACAAATGGAGCGATTGTGATCAACATTCACGGACATTCACATCATTATTCTTTTGGAGTAAGTGAAAACATCTCGTTTTAAATCATAGAGCAGAAAAAAAAATCTACAAAATAATCAGAAACAATTCTGAGTGACACTTATGTCAAGTCAACAAGTCGTCTAGATATTATTTTTTGACATTTTACAGATTAAACACCTGAGTGATTAATCTCCATTGATAATAAAAATGGGTTTGTGGTAGCTCTGCTGCTAAGTAGTGTCGTGGCAATTCCGCAATCCCACTCTGACGACGAGGACCGAGACAAAAACCTCTCACGATATTGTCACACTCTAATGCTCAGAGCATGATACACAAGACAAAGGCTAGTTTGTAATACGCACCCCGATGGGAAGCTGTTCTTTATACATTTGGCTCGTTCCTCGTCCTCTGGTTGAGGTTGTTCCTGAGCCAAAGGTCAGGATCTTCTGATGACATCAGGGCAACGATGCCTTTGTTTAAACAATCAGGTCAAGATTCAATCAGTTGCACAGGATTCAGCCTGATCGAGGTCACATTGTAAAGATTCACTCATGAACAATCAGAGGGGAAATGAACATGAGTACATTCTACACAGCCCACAAAAGAGCTGGTCTTCATGGGCCGCATCCTCTGAAGTATTCATTTCGTCACGTCTTTAAAATAAATAGATTAAATACTATATGTGTATATGTTAAATGTATTTGCTCTTATTACTGTGACAGACGACCGTATACAAAGATGGACGACATGACAATCAAACAATAAAAAAAAAAAAGACAAACATTTTCCCAAAGATGTTTTATGTCCTTTTATTTAGTTTTCATTTGTTCAAGTGTTCATGTTTCTGATAAGTCTGATTTTAATGAGTTATTTCACGATTGACAGCTGAGACTTATATCAAAAAACTTTTTAAAAAAGGTGTCTTGAAATGGTTTCTTGAGTGCATTATAATATTTAAACAATAAAGCTCTCACAGCTGATAAAGAACCATGTCAACCCCGAGTTCAAGTAAATATGAATACAATCTCTCTATCACACGTATATTGTTCGTCTCTACATGTATTGCACTTGGTATATTTGATTCTGATTCAGCTTGAGTAAACAGAAATGAGTAAAAAAAGACAATAGAAACGCCTTCAAAATAAGACGATATTAACTCCAGGAAATGAGATTAAAACTCATCTTTGATTTTAAAATGAGGCTGGTCCTCTGGTTTGAAGTCTTCGTCGGGACTCCCGTCGTCCTTGAGGATGCGTGACGCTGTGTAACCCACGATGGGATACTTTGTCTTGTACGTGCCTTCAAATATACTGTCCAGAGACTGGAGCTGCTCCTCACTGAGGCCGGTCTGTGGATGGAAAGGTGGAAAAATGTGACCTTTTGACTTTTAGTTTTCTTCCTGTGTTTCATTGCTGAAGAGGTTTTAGGGGCAGTTTCTCCTGATTCAAATCAAAGACGTAAGAGTAGAGGGTGTCATGTGATCTACAGGTTATAAAGTCATTTCAGGAAAATATGGCTGCATCCGGAACATCTCGACGACCCTTGTGGCGTCCTCATGTTTAGTCAGAATCTTTCTACCCTACACAGTGGACTCACTGTATCCCACGATTCATCATAGAAGGTGTCAGATGTCACCTGTCTCCTGTGCGTCCCACCCACAGGAGACAGAGGAAACCCTGTAATCCAGACAGGTGTGGCGGGGGAGGGGGTTTCTGGATGTTCAGGCGACACTCACAGTATCTGATGTCAGGTCTGCCGGGTCCAGGGACATCTTAGCCACAGCCCGAGTGGAGTCCTTTCCCACCAGGGCGTTGTACGGAGCATCTTTACCATAAAACTCTGCAGCGGGGGAGAGAAAACTGGGCTGTGAAACTCATCTGGGCAGAGATTCATTTCCAGTTACGTCTCGGACTCTTGGGGGGAGCTACATCGCAATATACGACATTATCAGTTGTTTAATGAAGATGCATTAATACAAACATTTCACTGTTGTGGCTTTTTGAGGTGGAGCTGCTTCTCACAGGAAGTGGAGTCACATGAAACTGATTATTGATGCATGAAACAAATAACAACACAAAGCTGACTCACGAGTTTGTGTCTTCAGTTTTTACAGGAGATATTTGATGCTTTTTCATTCATTGAAGAATACTGGTTTGTAGTAGCCTGTTTTATCATGTTAAATACATTTGATCTTTACGTATATAAAAGTACTCACTGTGCAGGATATCACACTTAAGATCAATGTTTCATAAAAAAGAAACTTTTCAGAATCTGGTTTAAAAAGAGACGAGAAGTTTTTATTCACCTTTTCCTGTGGTGACATCAAACACGACTCCTTTCACTGCCATGTACACCGGCTCAGAGTCCTGCACCAGAGAAGGAACTGACATCATGGTTCAGCCATATAGAACTGTCTATAACCACAGACTATAACCACAGACTGTATATAACCATAGACTGTATATTACCATAGACTGTATATAACCACAGACAGTATATATAACCACAGACTGTATTTAACCATAGACTGTATATTACCACAGACTGTATATATAACAACAGACTCTATTTCACCATAGACTGTATATAGCCACAGACTTTATATAACCACAGACAGTATATAACCACAGACAGTATATATAACCACAGAC